AAGTGCCCAATTTGTGATTGCTACTCTAAAGATTAAGCTTAGATCCAGTAGGCTACCACCTACTAGGAGAACGAAGCTGGATTTAGCCAGACTCCAAGATCAATATGTGTGAAGAACTTGCAGATTTGGGTGCGACTGCTGACTCTAATGTGATGTGGGAGACCTTCCATGATAAGACCCTGAAGGTTGCCAAGGGTTGTGTTGGTGTTGCTGGTGATCCCAGAAGGAGGTGTTTCATCTCGCAGTGCACCTTGGATATTATCGAAAGGAGTCACAGTGCAGGACTTGGTGGCAACTCCAGGCTGTACCGGGAACTGAGAAGGACGGCTGTAAGGGCTGTGAGGGCAGATAAGGTGTTTGTTAGATGAATCTGTGAACAGGTGACACACCATCTGTGGTCTAGTGACCCACATCCTGTTTACAGAGGAATCGAAGCATTACGCACATCTGAATCTGTTCCTCGGAGACATGCAGTCAGGGCGAGTGATGGAATGGTCCTTATGGATAACACTGCAGTTGTGACCTGCTGGGCCTGCTACTTTGAGCATTTGTTTAAACCTGACCCTCCAGCTAGGATGTTGGACATCTCTGGGTCCACCGTCCTCAAAGCTGACCCTCCAATCAGCTGTGAACCACCCAATCTCACCGTGATTGCAGGGGTGGTGAATCAGCTGAGGGTAGGGAAGGTCGCAGGGATCTGTGGTATCTGGGGTGAACTTCTCCAGGCTGGTGGTAAGGCTGTCCTCCTGGCATTGCAGACAATCTTTGCTTCCATTTGGGAGTCAGGCATCATCTCAACTGACTGGAAAACAGGACTTAGCCCCTATCTGTAAAGGGAAGGGTGATTGCCTGGATTGCAGCAACTACAGGGGCATAACACTACTTTCAGTGCCGGTAAGGTCCTTGCTAGGGTCAACCTTAACAGGATCCGTGATCACTTGCTTGTCTGTCAGCGACCAGAACAGTCTGGTTTTACGCCTAAGAAGTCTACCATTGACTATATCCTTGCACTGTGGGTTCTCATTGAGCGCAAGCATGAGTATCGGCAGAGGTTCTTTGCAGCCTTTCTGGATTTTCTTAAAGTCAATTAATCGAGTTGCCCTGTGGGACATGTGAGAATTTGCAGGATCCCCATGAATTTGCTGGACATCATGACTAGCCTATACACTGGTACTGTGAGTGCTGTGCAGAGTTGAGGGAGTACCTCTGCTTCCTTCCAGTTGATTCTCGGGTTTGCCAAGAGTGTGTTCTTCTTGCTCCTACTCTGTTCAATGCTTGTATGGACTGAGTGCTGGGCAGGGTCATGGGGTCCAGCAGCTGTGGGGTGTCCATTGGTGAATAAAGATTTACTGATCTTGACTTTGCCGAAGATACTGTGATCGTAGCGGAGTCAATGGAGGCTCTGATCGGGGCTCTCGAGAGACTGAGCAAGGAGTCTGAGTGTCTGGGTTTGCAGGTGTCCTGGATAAAGTCCATGATTCAGACATTTAATCACTTCTTAGGCACAACCATCAGTAGTGTGTCTGTCTGCAGGGAGAATGTCGGCCATAATAATGTTATTATTTTTCATCTTTGTTCAATTTATGACATAAAAAGTAACTATCCATCAATGTTTGGTGAAAATATTGTGCATTTTTTCTATTTCCTACAGAGACTGTGTTTACATCTTTTGAGGCAAAAAAATGACCAAAATATGTTATTTATCGAGGGGTGCCCAAACTTTTGCATACTACTGTATGTCTCTGGTATGAAGTCAGCAGACGGATTGGAAGAGCATGGAGGGTCATGAGGTCGCTGGAAAGGGGTGTGTGGTATTCCCAATATCTTTGCAAGAGGACAAAGGTCCAAGTCTATAGCATTTTGGTGCTCCCTGTCTTGCTGTATGGCTGTGAGACATGGACACTATCCAGTAAGCTGCAACGAAGACTGGACTCCTTCGGTACTGTGTCTCTTCAAAGAATCAGCTAGGTGTTACATGGGCATCTCCTTGGCCTGGTCCATCTCCTTGGGTCCTCAGCAATGATGATCCTGCAAGCGAGGTCACCCTTCGGGGAATCGTACCACATAGCTGTAGTGATCACATCTAATAAAGCAGCGGTCACTAACAGGCGGACCGCGGTCCGGGTCCGGACCCAGAAGCTGTCCCATACGGACCCGGACCGACAGCCAAAACATTTAGTTATTATTTAAAACCTGACGGGGCGCTTTTATTTTAACTGGCGCAGCGTTTGTAGTTTTTTAAGTAGTGCTTTAGCAGTAGAACCGCCGTTTCCCACGCCAATGAACGTCAAACGCCTTTGACCGCCAAGCAAGACGTATAGTTCGGCGTATGCAGCCCTTTGTCTGCGCTAATGTGCCTTTCATGTTAATAGCAGCAGCGAAGCTAACACCTGCAAACAAAAAGCGTAATGTTCCTAACAGAGTGGCTGCGCTCTCCTGAAATCGTAAAGCTGAAAAGTTTTCAAATACAATATGTATTATATAACACGTTGGATAAATAGACGTAGTTTATTGTTGATTTCATGTTCGTCGAAGTTTCTGAATTTTAACATATGTATAAAGTAATGTTATCTGTTATATAAATAAACTCGTGAAACAAAAACTGTACGTTCTGTTTCACTCAAGAAAGGCTGCCAGACGGCTAGCACAGAGGGCTGGAATATAATCCGCGCATGCGCGAGTTCTGAGGTAGACCTATAACAAAACATTAAATTACATGTGAGTGTGCAACGTCACTGGATATAACTGTGAGCGTGGCACACGATCGTCCTCTTTTAATCCCTCACACGATCTGATAAGGTAAGACTTGATCTCTGTTAACGAGGTGCCTATTGACAGTCTACTGTCTGAGAGCCGGTAACTGTTGTCGCTCCTCTCCAGGCTACCGTTCGCTACTTTGATTGCACTACCTTATAAGTTAGCTATCGCCACTTAGTAAGGTAAAGTTTATTCTCACATAACGGAGAATATTTTGCGTGGCTATTCTGTGCATACACGTCTCCCCGAACGGAGATCTAACAGGTACGCTTTTGCATAGAAGGGAGAAAAGAGAACCCAGAAGCATTTTCTGGCTGTGTCTCTTGGAAATTGCTGCTGGCACCATATCTGGTGCCATTCTATGGCTTGCTGGTACTGCTGTGGAGCTAATTCTCCCATAAAGTGGACTGCCGCGATTCTCACTCTGTCGAGTGAGTCATTCGCCTGGCTTGTTAACCCATTTGACTAAGATCTACCAGACGTGATCTTATCTTTGCTGTTGCTTGTTGGAAGGCACAAAGAAGAGAACCTAGAGAAATCTCTCTGGCTGCATCTCTTGTCACACTTGTTGCTAGCACCACATCTGGTGCCATTGTGTGGTGTGCTGGTACAGTCTCTGGTACCATTGCATTGTAGCTCTGTTGGTACCATATCTGGTACCATTCTAGCGGTGCTACTGGCTTAATGTGTATATAAAGAGATTGTTGCTTGCCATTAGGCTATCATGCCTGGATTTCACAATTGTTCTAACTGCAAAAGCAGAATGCCAGTGGAAGATGGTAATACTCTTTGTATGACATGTCTGGGCCCTGAGCATGCGATTGCTTCGAAGGCAGACCCTTCCAGCTGCCCAGACTGTCTTCCTTTCTCTACATGTACTCTATTGAGTAAGGTAAATAAAGTTATGGGGGACAAGGTGTCTACATCTTCCCGGGAGTCGTCCGGGATGAGTTTACAGCCGGCATCTCAGCCCGCTTCTCAGGAGTCAAGTGCCCACGAAGTGACGGGCACTGATCCGCCAACTTCAGGCAAAAAACACAGGAAGAGGAAGTATGAGGCCTATGACGCTCTTGCCAATACAATGGCTTCTCTGGTGAAAGAGGTTTCATCTTTGGCATCTAGCCAGCAGTGGATGATGCAGCAACTCACTGAGCGACACACAGTCCCATCAGGGCACTCTGGAGAAACATTTTCATCTCTGCAGCTGATTTCCCAGACTGCTGATGCTGACGCAGAGCTCCTATCAGTGATGGCATCTGATAACCTGAATGGTGAATATATGGGTGACAACATCTCCTCACCCTTCTGATCTGAGCTCAGGTCATGGCTCTTCCCTGCGGTCTACTCCACCTGAGACATCTGGTGCTCTCTCTGGGGATGAATTCTTTGCCCTGATGTGTAGGACCACTAAACGTCTCCATGTGGATATGCCTACGGCAACTGAAACCCAGCCTTCTCAGTTTGATGGGAAGAGAGAGGCAATGAATGAGCCATGTTCTCTCCCTATTCTCCCAGACTTTGCCAGGGAAATGACATCTGTATGGGAGCACCCGGAGGTAGCTAACCCGCCTATGAGACAGTGGGCGCAGTTTGCCAACATCCAGGGAGCGGATGAGGTAGGTTTTGGTGCTTATCCGGCAATGGATGACTCTATTGCTGCTCTCGTTCTCCCTCCCACAGCTCTTGTGGGGAAGGATCCTTCATGCCCAAATAAACAGTGTCGCGCCACTGATAAATGGTTAAAGAAAACGTTCTACAATACAGCCTTCGGGGCACGCCTCATGAACACAACATCCGTGCTCACGCTGTATCAAATGGAGCTCATCGATGACCTCTCTGCTGCTCCCGCTCAGGAAGTAGTAGAGGAGCTAAGAAAGGTCTCTGAGATCCTGGTGCACCTCGCCAGGGGCGCGGCGCACTCCAGTGGAAGATCCATTGCATCACTGTGGATGGCACGAAGACACCTGTGGCTGGCTCAGTCAAAGCTTCCTGAGCCGGACAGAAACACACTCATGAAGCTGCCTCTTACCCCTGGTTTCACCTTTGGTCCTGGAGCAGTTGACATGCTACGCCGGGCCAAGGAATCTAGGGAATCCAAGAGGGAATGGGAACAGTTGATGCCAAGACCTCCACCACCAAAACGCCAACGACCAGGCTGGAGCTATGCACATAACCCCGCAATGCCCTCTTCAAGAGGCCGTCCCAATATGCAGGTGAATGTGCAGAGACAACCTGTGCATGCCTCTGCTACGATAAGCCGCCGCCCTGGGAATCTTGCTAGGCCTCGACAGCGTGGCGGCCACAGACCTCGCGCTGCTCATCCGGCCGCTCCGCAGCCCTCTTCCTGGCATTCAAGGGGCTCATCCTCATGCCTTCTCCCACACTCAGATACTGGTGTGGGAAACGTGTTCTCCCGGTTCTTGGGTACTTTCAACAATAAAGTTTGGTTATCGGCTGCAGTTCAGGCGCCGTCCACCCATATTCAACGGCGTTTGGGTCTCTCAGAAGCCAGACCCAAAGTGGCAGCTGGCCCTCCAAGAGGAGATAAACACTCCGTTAATGAAAGGGGCAATAAGAGAGGTAAATCACAGCGAGCGGCTGAGTGGCTTTTATTCGAGCTATTTTCTGGTTCCAAAACGAGATGGTGGGTTTCGCCCAATACTGGACCTGAGGCCACTGAACCTTTGCCTACGGCCACTGCGTTTCAAGATGTTATCACTGACGCAGATCCTTCGGTCAATCCAGGCGGGGGATTGGTTCACGAGCGTAGACCTCAGAGATGCCTACTTTCACATCTCAGTCCACCCCGATCATCAACGATTTCTCCGGTTTGCGCTAAAGGACAGAGCCTTCGAGTTCAATGTTCTTCCCTTTGGCCTGTCTCTATCGCCACACACTTTTACAAAGTGCATGGACGCAGCCTTGAGCCCGCTGCGCCAGAAGGGCATCAAGGTGCTCAATTATTTGGACGACTGGCTGATATGTTCGCCGTCGAGACAGCAAGCGGTGCTGGACACAGCGGTGGTGGTAGACCACTTACAGCAGTTGGGCTTGTCTCTCAATTCAGAGAAGGGCCAGCTGACTCCATCGCAACAAATCACCTTCCTCGGAGTAAGGCTGGACTCGGCTGTCATGTTAGCAGGTCTCTCAGACCAAAGAGTTGTCAATCTACGGCAGTGCCTCTCACAGTTTCTGGGACAGGGCAGTGTTCGGGCCTACCAGTGTCAAAGGCTTTTGGGCCTAATGGCTGCTGCTTCCCAGGTGGTGCGCCTTGGCCTTCTACACATGAGGCCAGTGCAGAACTGGTATCTGTCCAGGACGCTCCACCCTGTGTTGGACAGGAACAAATATGTCACTCTAACACCTGTGTGTTTGAGAGCTCTCCGATGGTGGAACATGTCCCGGAATCTGTACAAAGGTGTGCGGTTAGGCAGAATCTACCGACGCGAAGTTCTGACCACAGACGCTTCCCTGTCGGGTTGGGGGGCAGTCTGGAATGGTGTGGGAGCCCGGGGAGTCTGGCATCCACCATGGATCACAGCCCACATCAATGTCCTCGAGCTGAGAACAGTATATCTCGCTCTCCGTCATTTCTTACCAGTGCTGCAGAACAAGCATGTGCTAATTCGGACGGACAATATGTCAGCGATAGCTTACATAAATCGCCAGGGAGGTCTGAGGTCTCAGGCCTTGCACAGTGTAGCCTGGGAACTCCTCCTTTGGGCAGACACCCGTCTTTGCTCGGTCAGAGCAGTCCACTTGCCAGGCCCTCTGAATTCCGCAGCAGATCTATTGTCAAGAGGCAAGTCACACCCAAGTGAATAGAGACTGCACCCAGCCACAGTATGTCTGATTTGGGCTCTTTTTGGGAAGGCACACGTCGATCTTTTCACCTCAAGGGAGTCCACACACTGCCCACTTTGGTTCTCCTTAAGCCAAGATGACGCACCTCTAGGTGAGGACGCTCTGGCACACTAATGGCCCAAGGGCCTTCTGTATGCCTTCCCCCCCCCTTTCCCTGATTCCAGCTGTGCTGGAGAAGACAAGGAGGGAGAACCTGGATGCCCTCAGGCGACTTGGTTTGCAGAAGTTCAGATCTTCCTTTCAGGCAAACCGTGGCAAATCCCACTGAGGGAGGATCTGTTGTCTCAAGCAGGGGGAGGGCTGTGGCACCCGTCACCATCTGTACTCAATCTGTGGGTTTGGCCGTTGAGAGGGACGCTCTCCTCGCTCAAGGGTTATCCGTTGCAGTAGTTAAGACTTTGCAGTGCGCTAGGGCCCCATCAACGAGGGCACTATACTTTTACAGGTGGGAAGTTTTCAAGACTTGGTGTGAACAGCGGCAGGAGTGCCCCCAGTCCTGCCCCCTGAATTCAGTTCTAGAGTTTTTACAGGAACAGTTTGACCAGGGCAAGTCCCCTTCAACTTTGAAGGTCTTTCTTGCAGTGATATCTGCTTGCCATGAGAGAGTAGACGGGAAAACACTTGGCGCTAATCCCCTGTCTATTCAGTTCATAAAAGGGGTTCAACGGCTTCGCCCCAGGAGACTTTCCTCTGTGCCTGCATGGCAACTTAATGTTGTCCTTGATGCACTGCTGAAGCCTCCATTCGAGCCCATTGTGGGCATTGACCTCAAGTGGCTTTCTCAGAAGGTGGCCTTCTTGCTGGCCATCACCTCGGCCAAACGCGTTGGAGAGCTTCATGCACTGTGCATACTGATTGCTTCCATGTGAAACCAGATGGAGCTGGCATTGTGCTACGTCCTAACCCGGCTTTCATGCCTAAGGTTCTTTTAGTGCGAAACCTGAATCAGGTGATTGTTTTGGACCCTTATCAGCCTCCTCCCTTTGAGTCAGAGGAGGATCAAACACCTCATACTCTGTGTCCTGTGCGGGCTCTCCTCTGTTATGTTGATTGAACAAAAAGTTTTCATTTGACAGATCAGCTCTTTGTCTGTCATGGTGCTGGGCGGAGGGGTAAGGCCCTTTCTAAACAGAGGCTGTCACACTGGGTAGTTGGCACTATAAAGCAGGCTTACCAGCTTTCTGGTCTTCCATCTCCAGTGGCCACGGTTGCACACTCTACCCGGGGCATTGCTACTTCTTGGGCTCTCCTTAAAGGGGTCCCCTTGCAGGATATTTGCCAGGCAGCCTGTTGGTCCTCGCCTTCAACCTTTGCACGGTTTTACAACCTGAATGTGGTATCTCCTTTGTCCTTCGGGAATGCTGTCTTGAGTTCATGAGTTCAATCCTACGAAGTTTCTTCTGAC